CCTTTGATTGTTGGGAAGGAGAAATGGAGTAGAAATTAGGATTCCTATATAAATGATGAGAATTAAAGTCCTATGACCATTTATGCAGTGGATCCACTATGAGGTCAAAGAATCTCTATGGTGTATTGAAAGAGCACTAGACTAGGAACAAGTAGTCATGAGTTCAAATCCAATCTGCGTGACCTTAGGCACATCAATTAACCTCTCTGAGCCAGTTTCCTCATCTGTACAATGAAGAGAATGATATCTACCTCATAGTATTTTTTAAGATGAAATAAGTATAAGCTGAACATAAAGCCAGTTCCTTCCAGTATGCATGTTTATAAAATGATAGAGCCTTATACGTTGGCTTCTAGCATGAAGTGACAATGTACTTTGGAAAGGCATCACCAGTACCTTATCTAAAAATTCTTCCATTAAATGGAAAAAAGTTGAGAGATTAAAGATTTGAGGTTCCCTTTTCTAAACCAGAAGCCAGTTCTCAGGTCTCTGGAGCCTTGACTGGAAACCCTCCAAACCAGCTCCATCATGCTAATGGGGACATGTTTTCTCAACCTTCTCGCCTTCTCCTCATCCTTGATTTAAAGGTGACCACATTCCACACAGAACCCATGACAGCCCTCTGTTTTCTGTCCCTCAGAAGGTCCCATTTAAATTCCTCCAATGTGGGCAGACATGGGATCCTGTATCTGACATTAAAGTGCTGTTAGCCAGAGAAGAGATCCAGATCAAATCCTTTGGGGTAGTTCCAAACGCCAGAGCTAGGACTGATGGAGTGGGCTTAGAGGAAGGCTCCAGCTCTGCATATGGAACATGTCTGTAACAGTGGCTGCCGGCCAGCTACGGGCAAGCTCCTGAGGCAGTAGGCTCCCCAGCAGGAAAGCTCAGGCAGAACATCTCGCCCGCTGCTGCCTGAATGACCCTCCTAACAGCCAATTATCTTACTCAACACTTACTGAGTGCTCTCTACGTCCTAGGCACCGGGAATACAAGCACGAATAAGACGCAGTCCTCAGCTCTCAAGGGCTCACAGTGGGGAGACAGACACATAAGCAGGTAATTATAAAACAATGTGGTAAGTACAAAAATAGAGAAATTACAGGAGCACTGAGGGGTGGACCTAACTCAGGAGTGGACCTGACTCAAGGGGGCAATTATTTCTGGAGGAGGTGACACTTCAGCAGTATTAAAGGATGGAGTAGGATGGAAGTGAGGGGCAAGATGGGGCAGTAAAAGAGCATTTGGGGCAAAAGGAATCAGCCTGAGCAAAGGAACAGATGTGACAAACATTATGGTTTATGAGAGGCACTCCATGCAGCTGGATAATGCTAGAACATAAAATATGAGGGTGGGGAGGAGTGGAGACAGACAGGCTGGAGCTGAGACAGGAGCAGGGCGTGGAGGGCCTTGTAATCTGCATTCTGCAGGGTGAACTTTGTCCTGTAGGTGTGAGGCAGCCAACACCTTAAAGGTTTTAAGCACAAGAGTGACTAAGTTTCTATGATCTTTGATTTAGGAGTTTTGGGTTTTTTTTCAAAGGGAAACAGCAGGACAGCCAGGAAAGTTAGTGAATTGGCTTTGTGAGCCCCAGCATCAGTGCAGCCTGCCCGACTCACTGCAGAAGGCAAGCACCGAGCTCCTTTGGTCTCCTGCCTCTTCCTCCAGTGTCTGCTGGAGCTCTTGGTGACGCTGACCTCATAAAAAGGTGATGTGGGCACAAGGCGACCCAGCATTTCAAAGTACTTTGAAGAAGCCAGAATTCCACATTGAGCCCTGAGCATCTTTCCGCAGTGGGGACCTTGGCTGTGAAGCAGGCCTCAGGGAGCAGGCAGCAGGGGGTCAGGATCGATGCAGTGTGCTCTGGAGACACTGCATCTCCTCTTGCAGCTTCTCCCCGCTCCCTCCTTCCCTCCCTCCCTGCTAATACCCTCCGGCTCCAGCTGACTTGATCTGAGGTTGGGTTGGGAAGGAGGGGCTGGTGTACAAGCCCATCTTGTAGGGAAAAGCATCCTGCCTGCTGTGCTCAGCCATGGGGACCATTCCAACCTCCCTAGCTGGGAACTCTGGCCTCCTGTACTTTTCTGAACTGCTGTACATCTCACCTCTGGAGCTGCCATTTGGAAGTATTTCCCTCTCCTTCCCCACTCGCTTTGATGTCCCCAGACGCATTCCTCATTACCCACCCTCCAGGGGCCCAGGGTCTCCACTGCCTATGTGACTTGGTTCTGTCCACTTCCTCTCTGCCAAATCATGCTACTTTGTGACTACTTCAATAACTGCATAAATAGCTCTGCCTCCCTAAGCCTGTCTTGATTACTCCTTCATACCTGACCCCTCCCTTCCATTATCCCCTTGATTCTGAACACTTGAGTAGACTAACCTACTCATTTGTACTAGTTGAGCTGTTCCAACCACTCCCCACACACTCATGCCTGACTCTGCATTTCTCACTCATGATGTTCCCTCTGCCTAGAACATCCTCCTCCTTCTTGTCTCCCTTGTGAACTCCCCCTCATCCTTCCAGGCACAGCACAAACGTCACCCTGACCCTAAGGCTTTCCCCTGTCGCCTCCAAGACAGATTAACTCTAATAGGACTTTGTTTACCTTTATTCAATTATGATTTTTTCCTTATGTCATAATAACAGCTAGTACTTTTACGATAGGCATCTCTCAAAGAACTTTATATAATAACTCATTTAATCCTCAAAACCACCCTGTTATTATCTCCAAGTCAACCTGCCCAAGTGTACAGTGAGTCAATGGAGGAACTGAGATTTGAACCCACCAAGTGTGGCTCTAATCAGATGCTATGACACCTCTCCACCCAGCAAGCCTCACCTGCAGCCCAGGGAGCTCCTGTCCTCAAGAGCTACACTCTGTTCTCTGGGTACCCTAAGTGCCTAGCACACAGCAGGTGATTACTAAATGTGTTCCGGACTTAACAGAATTTGTTTGGCATGCATTCCCGTGTCTTCCTCATGAGTATGTTCTGTCTCCCCAAGCCATCCATGAGCTCCTCAAGGCACATCCTCAAGTCATCTACTATCACAGGCCCACAATCACAATGCACAATGAGCTGGGGGATAGGCAGAGGCTCTAGGGGGTACAGTTGGGAGCAAACTAATTTTAGATTAATTTATGTCTTAAGTGTTTTTTACACTAATTTACAAAGGCTTTTTCACATGCCTGATCTCATAGCTCCTGACATCGATAGGATGTGGAAAAGGTAAGGAGACTGAGGTGTGGATTACTTGAGACCTGGCCAAGGACTCAGAGCTAGAAACAACTGAAGGGATTACAGCAGCCCCCCTTATTTGCGGAGGATACATTCCAAGACCCTCAGTGGACGCCTGAAACCGCAGATGGTACCAAACTCTATAAATACTATGCTTTTTCGTATACATACACATGTGAGGTGTGACAGCAAAACTAGCACAAATTTCTTTTTCCTTCTTCACAACTTCACGGATAGAAGGATTGTTCTTACTGTAGATCTTAGCAACCTCAGCATACAATTTTTTTCCCTATTAAGTCGAGAACTTGCACCTTTTCACTTAAAGGAAGCACTTTATGGCTTCCCTTTGGCATATCTGAATTGCCAGCATCACTACCCTTGTGCTTTGGGGCCATTGTTAAGCAAAATAAGGGTGACTTGAACACAAGCACTGCGATACCCTGACAGTCGATATGATATTTCATCATGCTACTCAAAATGACATGCAATTTAAAACTTACAAATTGTTTATTTCTGGAATTTTCTATTTAATATTTTTGGACCCAGGTTGACAGCAGGTAACTGAAACCATGGGAAGCAAAGCCGTGGAAAGAGGGGACTACCATACAGAGATTACAGCCCAGGGCTCTGAATGAAGCACCTAAAAGCTGGTCTCCTGTTCATGGTGTGGTCCCAGACAGCTGTGGCCATCAGGAATGGGCAGGCTGAGTGGGGCAGCTCCTCCCCCAGCGAGGGTGGCCTTGGCTACTGGGACAGGGGTGGGAAGTGGGTAGGAAGCTGGTGAGAGGCAGAGAACCAGCCAAAGGGGAACCTGGCTGGGTGTTCTAGAAAGGAGGCTGGCTGAGCAGAGGTGGGGCAGGATGTGTTAAAGCCAGTTCAGCAGGGCCTCCAGGGGCCTCTCGGAGTGTTTGGGCACCCTCACCAGACAGGACAGAACACCCTGAGATGTGACATGATTTGCAAGTGGGCTACCACAGATGTGAAAAGTCAGGAAAAACTGGTTTGTCCTTCCCATTGGTTGGAGGTAGTCAATGTTTCCCTACTATTTGTAACTATCCCATTGCATTTCTAAGAATCTATACCTTTATTTTATTGTCCTAACTCAACAAAACTTCAAATCAAATTTACTCGACGTCATGTGCAGAAGGGAAGGATTTTCAGGCTCAAGGCCGCCTCTGCAGAAGGAAAGGTTTTCCCTAGTAGAAAGGGCAGTGAACTTCTAGCCAAAAGACCTGCCCCATCTTCCCAGTTGGGTAGTCCTCCACAAGTCTCTTCATCCCCCAGAACCTTGATCTCCTCTTCTGTAAAATGGGCATGAAAATGCCTACCCACGCCCAAAGAATTGTGGCAATGACCTGTGCCAAGGCCTGTGAGGTCCCAGCCTGGGCTTTCCGCTGATCTGAATGGTCTCCTGGCTCTCTGTCTCACGCTCCCCACTATTCAGGAAATGAATGAGACACTGCAGATGTCTGCGCCCAAAACGCAGGGAGAGCTACCTCCCGCTGGGGACCTCCCGCGCCTGCGGCTTAAGCGAAGGATCGAAAGAGAAGGCTCAGCAGATCGCCAAGCTCTTGCCGCGGCTTTGACAGGGGGCGAGGTAGGCTGTAATTCCGGGGGCGCGGTGGGGTGGATCCGAAACCCGGGTTTCTTGACCCAAGGCACGAAGGCGTGGGGGCTGCCTTTCCCCGCCCTGCCCCTCCGGTGGCTGCAAAGCGCCCTTGGAGGCCAGCCCAGCGCCCGGGCGTGGGAATCACCTCGCTTACCTGCGGCTCCACCAGCCAGCGGGGCTGGGCTCCGCCGGGCGCGAGGCGCGCGGCACGGAACGCCGAGTACACGGGGATGCGGTCCCGGGTGCTGTACAGGGTGGCGAAGCGCTCGGCGCCCTCGGAGCGCTGACAGATCTTCACGTGGGCATCGGCCGGCAGTCCCGCAGGCGGGGTCTCTGCGTAGAAGAACCGGTCACATTCGCCAAAGCCGGCTTCCTCCTCGCCCACGAGCCGGCCTTCCAGCAGCCCCGCCAGGGCGAGGAGGCTGCCCAGCGCGAGGCAGCGCGCGGGGCCCATGGCGGCCTCTGCGAGCGCGGC